GCCTGGGAGGCCTGCGCTTCGTTTTCAAAGTCCACGTAGGCCAAGCCCTGAGAGGGGAAAGACGGGGAGACGGACCATCAACACTCAAAGAGCCGAGGGGGCGCAGTGGTTAGGGCAGTGTTTCTCAACCTTAGCAACTTGAAGATGCCCGGCCTTCACCCCCCAGACTCCCCCAGCCAGCATTCGCTGGCTGGGGAATTCTGGGAGTTGGAGTCCGGACATCTTCAAGTTGCTAAGGTTGAGAAACACTGCCCTAACCACTGCGCCCCCTCGGCTCTTTGAGTGTTGATGGTCCGTCTCCCCGTCTTTCCCCTCTCAGGGCTTGGCCTACGTGGACTTTGAAAACGAAGCGCAGGCCTCCCAGGCGCTTCTGAAAATGGACGGGATGGACATAAAGGGCCACGTCATCAAAGTCGCCATCAGCAACCCTCCCTCTCGGAGGTTCCCCGAGAAGCCGGAATCCCAGAGTCAGAATCAGAGTTTCCACACGGCTCAGGGCCGGTGAGTGTCTTGAACCCAGGACTCCAGACCGGAAAAAGGGTTTCTCGAACCTTATTTAAGCAACCAAAGCCTCTTGGAGGTTTTCCCATTGTGGAACTTTTCAGGTGGCTGGGAAATCAGTTGGGTTTTTTATTTTATTTTATGTATTAATACTTATACTTTATGCTTATTTACAACATCGGCTAGATTTTTTTTTTAAAAAAAGATAAATTACGTGGCACAGGGAGGCAGAAACTCTTCCTCTTTGGAAACTGAGAAGATCTGGATGGCTCAGAAGGGAAGCACCTCGCAGCTCAAGGAGTTTTAAAACTAGGGTTGTGGGCTAGTCCTTTTGGGGAGAAACGGCAGCCTGGGCTCCGTCACTCCGCAGCGCTGAGGCTTTTATCTTCCGCGCCCCTTTTGCAAGCGCCCTCAACCTGCTCTTTCCACAGCCGCCGCAAGGGGAGAACCCAGCTGGAGATGGTCCCTCGTGCCTTGCAGCGTCACAGCAACCCACCAAGCAAGGCAGAGAACGGCGGTGAGCAGAGCCCGTCCGCCCCGCCGGCGGAACTGCCCAAGAAGATGACCAACGCGGACTTCGCCAAGATGCTCCTGAATAAGTGAGCCGCTGCCGAGGGCCCCCCCTGGACGTCCTCGGCTGTTTTTTCCCCCCCGTAGCGGCCGCTGCGGCTGATCATGGTTCCCCTCCGATCCCAATTTGGACTTCTTACATCCGCCAAATGCCCGAAGAGGGAGGTGTCGATTCCCCACCTCCCCCCGAAGTACCCCAGGGCAAAAGTTATTGAGTTTGGGGAGGGGTTGTTGTGAGGAATTTGTGGAAAAAAATGGCTTTAAATGCTTTCCTCATATTGGGGGTTTAATGTGGCGAGCGCTCACTTTTTGAGGCTGAACACAGTATGTTTTAATAGTTGGGTTTTTTTCAGCTGTTATTCTCCAAATGAAGAGTTTAATGTGAATTGTGTCTCGATCTGGTTTATACAAATCCCACCACGGGCGCTAAGCGAAGTCCGGGCATCTTTGCGACGCTTCCTCCGTCGCGCACAAAATAAGCCCCGGACGAGCCCAGCGCCTTCTTCTCGTGCGCAAAAAGGAGCATAGAGAGATGACGTTCACCATAATAGCCTATTTCAGCCTTGGGGTAGAAGGGGAGGCGTTTCCACCGACCCTTTTGCCGAGTCTGTTTTTTGATATAATCCGTACCTCTCTCTCTCTCTCTGGGTGTGACCAGCACATGCCGGCTACTTTTGAGCTTTCTCTGACCTGGCACTGGAGGGACGGGCGCCCTGCTCAGCTCCGATGTTTCTGTTTCCCCGGCTCCTGTAAGGGTCTCTAGCCAGGCCCCTCTTGGTTCTCGAGGTGTTTGCCTTGCAATGTTTTCGTTTTGTTTTTTTATACAATGTAAAGCGTGAGCCTGCGGCATTCCTCCTCCGGGTTCATTAAAGTTGATCTTGCAAGTTGAGTGTGGTGGCTTATTTGGCCTGCTGAATCAAGCCGAGGGCGGTGGGCATTTTGTTAAACAAGAGTTTGCCTTTTGAACCTTTAAGCAGTTCCTAGGGAGACCCTCCCTCACCCTGGGCTCCTCCCGTTTGTTGGACTCCAAGCCTAGCGATCCTGTTTCGTAGCTAGGCAGGCCCTGGATGCCCGAAGGGGTCACCTGGCCTGCTGCCTTCTTTCGCACTTCCGATGTTCCTGCCTGCCTCAGCATCTGGACTAAGGCATGCGGAGGGTTGCTGCCAAGAAGGAGCAGGAAGCAGGCAGGCTGGCATGAAAAAGACACCCAATCCTTTGTTCACAAAAGCAACTCGCAGAAGAGAGACAATTCCGCTCCCTTCCTTGCAAACTAAACAATATCACACATGAAATCCCATATATATATATAAATATATATATAATTAGATTTTTACAACCCCTGGTAAGCCCCAATTATGGGAGGAAGCTAACTGCTTCCATCTTCTGTCATTCGGCTCGTCACAAGAGTCCATCACGACAGAAACCCAATATTTTTACTGTTGCCTTTGTTATATTTGTGTTTTTTTATTTGTGCTGA